ATGGAGAAAAGCCAAAGCAGGAACTCAAGGCAGGAACCTGGAGGAAGGAACCGAAGCAGAAGCAGAGATGTTGGAGGAATGCTGCTTACTAGCTTGCTTTCCCCTTGCTTGCTCAGCTATCTCGTGGTCAGGTCTGTCACAGCAACTGTCCCACTCTCTGATACCAATTTCTGTTTTGGTTAGCTTTCTGTTGCTGAAATAAACTGACCAAAAAGAAACTTGGGGAGGTAAGGGTTTATTTCATCACAGTCCATTACCAAAGGAAGTTAGGACAAGAATTCAAGGCACTAAAGGAGAAGAAGGATCAACAGAGGAACGCTGTTTACTGGCTTGCTCCACCCTGTCTTTCTCAGCCACGGGCCCTCCTACATCAACCAGTAATTAAGAAAATGCCCCATGAGACATGACCACAGGCCAGTATAATGAACGAAATATCTCAGTTGAAGTTCCCTCTTCCTAGCTGTCTAGTCTGTGTCAACTTGACAAATACTAAGCAGCACAGGTTTATTTTGGCTCAGAATTTTGGAGGTTCAGTCCATGATTAGTTGGCCCAGTTGCTTTTGGGTCTGTCGTGAGGCAGGACACCAGGCTGGAGAATGTGGGAAGGCCCAAAGTGCTAACACCATAGCCATGGACTAACACAAAGAGGAATGAATCGGGGTTCCACAATCATCTTGAAGGGCATCATCTTCAGTGACCTAAGACCTCTTTATGAAGCCCTTACCTCTTAACAATTCTACAATCTAGCCACAGCACCGTGTTGAGGAACAAGCTATTCTAAAGTTTGGGAGCTGTCAGACTTATCCATGAAGTTTCTTCTAACCAAATCACCAGCAGTGATCCCTGCTCTGTCTCTTAGCCCTTACTACATTTGTTTCAGACAGGGTCTCAGATGGTTCAAGCTGATTTGCAATTTGCTGTGTAGTCAAGGATAGCCTTTCTGAGCTCCTAATCTTCCTGCCTCCACCTCCCACTTGCTGGGATTATAGGTGTATGCCACCCAGCCAGGGGCTCCTTTCATTCTTCTTGTAATTCCATTCACCTCAAATTTAGTAGTTATCTTGTTTAAATCCCTTAACTAGATTGTACGGGTTAGTTAAGGGCTCTATGTTCAGTTCTTCCTCTGACACTGACACATTGCTTTACAGAATGAAGAAGCTAATGAGCATTTGCAGAACCGAATAAATTATTGTCATAAAGAGAGGAAAGAAAGAACAGGAAACATTTCTCATTTGAGACTCAGCATGGAATTTCTCACAGTGACACTGAGGGAAAAAAAAAAGTGCCATAATCATGGACCTGTATTTTGTCCTTTTTGTAAAATTTATCCATATTTGGTAATATTTTCTGCAGGCACAAAACGGTGCTTGGAATTCCAAAGAACCTGTCTTCAAAAGAACGTATGGAGAGATATACTGGCAGAAGGAAAAACATTTTTAGTTAAGTCTGCCTTAAGCTTCTTATGAAACAAAATACTGCTAATGACAATACAGACTGTGGAAGTTAAAATTTTATGTTCTAAACATGAAAGTTAATTTCATCATTATTATATTATTTATTTAGATTTTCTGGGTCTTTCTGAGGCAGTATCTTCATGTAGCTTCAGCAGGCCTGGAACTGGCTATGTAGATCAGGCTGGCCTGGATCTCACAGAGATCCTCCTGTCTCTGGATTAAAGGCGTGCGCCACCCTGCCCTGCTTATTTGTATTTGTTTCAAGACAGGATTTCATTTTGAATATCAGGCTGGCTTAGAACTCACTATCCTTCTGCTTCACCTTCCTTAGTCTAGGATTACAGGTGTACACTAATACTTCTGGCTCCATCAAAGTTAATTTCTGAAAAAACCCAAACTTAAAAGAGAGAACACAGATAAATTAAAAAGGCTTCTTACTGCATTCCATTTCCACCTTTATCTGATATTATATTTCAAGGTACAATCCAACATTCAGGTGAAAAACTCTTTGTCTCTCCTTTCCCACAAGTCTTTACTATTTGCAGTTGCTGTGTAGATAACACAAGAGTTCACACATAGGAAATATATATATTTAAGGTTAAATCTATCCCAATACTTTATGCCACATACAGTGTTTCCCTCTGAAAAAAAAAATGCTTATCTTATGAGATAAATTGTGAAGGCGATTCTTTGCCAGACTTTGGGTAGGAAGGGGGAACTGGTTGGGACAGTTCTTAATTTGGAATTTGACTAATCTTCCAATGCATATACATAAGTAGTGCTATATTCTTTCACTGAGTACTTATTGAACACTGTGATGGGTACTGAGGAGTGAGTAATATACACAAAGATTCTACCTTCAAATTCTATAAGCTGCTGCAAAACCTGTATATCATCTACTGGAGGAAATGAACAGTAAACAAACAAGACAAATTACAGTTTATGGTATAAGCTGTAAAGGAGGGAAAGTAAACAGGATAAGAAGCCACTTAATAATCAGTAAAGGCCTCTCAGATGCATTTTAACCCAGAAAGGACAAAAACAGACCCAACCTTACACATTAATTGGGGAAGAGCTTCTCAGGCAGAGAGAAGTGGAAATTTCCTGAGATGCAAACAGACTCATTCTGTTTGAAGAACACAAATGGGACAGTGTAGTCATATTTTTTCAAACTGTGGATCATGTTTTGGATTGTGCTATCAATTTTGTGGGTCACTGAATTTTTAAAAAGGAAATGGAAAAGAAAATATCACCCGAGCCACAAAATAGCCCTTTTTTTTAGACAAAATATTCTTTAATGAGCTTTTGTTTTAGGTATGTGAGTAGGTATATGTATGTGCTGGGTTGCAATGTGTATGTTTCTTAATGTAGGGAATGGTCAACTCTGTACTAAGTAAGGAGAATAGTAACAGGTGAGGATGGGCAGGTGGCCAAGAGCCAGACCATATATGGCCTTGCACTGATGGCCAAGAAGATGAATTGGGACTTTATTCTAAATACTGTGGGAAGACACTGAAGGGTTTTAAGCTGGGGAGTGACATGATCTCATTTGACATTATGATGTTGCTGAAAGATTACTATAGTGAAATCCAAAAGGCGTTGAGGAGTAGGCCAGGCCAAGTTTCTAACACCATGGATTCTGTACAAATTGCTTAACTTCGGTGTGCCTCACTTCCCTCATTTTAAAAATGAGAAGGTTGAAGCAAGATGACCTTTAAGACTTTGTCGATTGCTTAATTTCTATTTGCTGCTTGCTCCTTTGAGCGTTAAGTAAATGGCCATTGTAGACTTACAAATTCACTAGTTATGAGTTACATCTTTAAATACTATAAACCATATAGCTTTAAATTACATTTCTATAGAAAGCAATTTTAGAATCATCTATTTATTGGAATTTGGTATGATATCAGACATGAGATCTCTGGGCTAAAAGTGAATCAAGTGCTTTTGCAACTCTATGGTACAAAGTTTGGTGTGTGAAGAAAATTGGCAAGGAGGCATGAAAAAGATTTACCAACCAGGCTCTTTGGAATAGATTTCCTTATTTGTTTCAGGTTTTCAATGAATATACGATTAGAACAGTTTAAAGCTGTAGGACTCTTCTGCTGAGTACTAAAGTCAAAATATGGAAGCTTAATTCCTTTCAAAGTAACCCAAACAACTGAGGCAAAATTTTTATTGACAACCTTCTATATTTTCAGTACCACACCAGACAATTTCATGTATTTTTCTTCATTTAATCTTCCTAAACTTATTATTTCATAGATATGGAAACAGGGTCTCAGAATATATAAGCAAGCTATTTAGTCACAAGGTCAAGGTTAGCATCAATCAAGGCAGACAACAAATTGAGCCTTTTAAGATCCAGATTTATAACTTATTTTTTATGTTTTAAAAGAATTATGGTACAAGCATTAAGTCATCAGATAAGTACCTGAAAACTCAAGTATTTGTGACATTTTGACAGAATGTTCAACTAAGAAATCAATTATGCATTCATAGAAACTTCACAGAGTGATGAACAGGTAAGAATTTGCTCTAGCACTGGAGGGCCTACACCATGAGTAGCACTTTGGTTGTAAGGAAGCGGAATTAAGCAAAATAAGAGGAACTGATTTACCCAATAACGTACACATCCATAGTACAATGGCAGTTTCCTGATTCATAGGTAAGCATGGACTGTACACTGTCACCTGTGTCCATGGGCCAAACAACCCGCCAGTTCCATAGCCACGAGGAGATGCTGTTTGAAACTCCGATTTCTAACTTACATGAACCTTTTAAAGGAAGTATTGGGCAGGCGTACCATCTGCCTAGTTCAACACACACCAGTATGTCAAAACCTTTGAAATGGGCACAGCCTCTTCCCAACATCTGCCGGCAGAAACACCCACAAACTCTCTAGCAAAGTTGGGGATGCTCGCTGCACACCTGTTCCAACCCCCAGAACGCAAGGCTCACCTGCCACAAACTCAGCTTCGAATCTCCGCCGGGTCTCAGAGATGAGCTTGGCTTTATTCTGAGCGTTACTCTGAATGGGAAACACAGCAGAATCTTAGAGACAGTCTTAACCCGGTTCGCCCTCAGTCCAGCCCACCTGCACTGGGGTACACCGGCCCCCGGCCTCCAAGTCCATTTCCAGGACCGGGTGCCCAGCGGCCGAGCGCTCCGCTCCTCACCTCCGCCATGGTCGCAATCGCGAACTTGATTGGAGTTGTTGTCCTAGTCCCTTGCTCTGCCTACAGTCAAGTATCTCTTCACCAGACAGCCCAGCCCAAAGGTAGACAAGAAGGGAGGGAGGGGAAGGCGGTCGCGTGACACCGGAAGGCTGAAGGAAGTGCCGCAACACTGCCCAATCCCGTACGGTCGTCTGGGCTTGGAGGCGGGACCAGTACCTCCTCTGGGCACCCACTGGCTTTTCAAAGGAGAAGCCCCGCCCCCGGCGTCCCTCCCGCCTGCGGCCGCGCCCCCCGGCCACCTAGCTCACCACAGTTTACCCTGGAGCTCCGCCCCCGAGGGCTCAGCCTGTCCTTTCGGTAACACTGGGAGGCCCCGCCTCTTCTGGTCTCCCTAGGCAGCTGTAGGGATCAGCCTCCTCTTCCTGAGCGTTCCACGCAGCCGTTAGGCGGGGCAACCCAGCATGCCCCGCGCTAGCGGGAGGTTTGGAGTCGGGGAGAGTTATCGCTATATTGAAACTTTTTGGAACAGAATTACTTGCTGAGAAAGAGCAGCATGCGCTAATCCGTAATGCGCTAATTCGGAATGGTGCCAGAGCAGGCGGTGGGGCTCGAACTCACGTCTTGCTGGAAAGGCGGAAGCAACGTGGCTGGACTCTGTGGTCGTCCCGTGGCCTAACTGGGATTGTGAGTGTGTGCTGTGTTCATTCTCATAAAACTTTCTTCCTGCAACACCGTTCCATTTGGCTTGTGAATGCTGTTTGTGACAGTCTCCTCTTTGTAATCCTGGCAGGCCTAGAACTTGGTATGTAGCCAAGGCTGGCCTCAAACGAACTCACAGGCATGCTCCTGTCAGTACAAAAGGTTTGAGCCATCATGCTTGCCTGGCTATGGAATTTGAGACGCTTGAAAGGCAAATATTTTTGAACCATTTCAACTCGCGTGCTTACAGAAAGTTAAAAACGAAAGGTGTCTTTAGGTTATATAAAGGTAGTTGTTCTTAACGAGTTGGGTGCTTGGTTCTAGAATTTTTCATTTGCAGGTTTCTAGGGTGCACCGTGTTTCTAATGGAGAAGAGCCAGGTTCACTGCCAAACTTGATGTGATGCACAGGGCCAAGGGCAAAATGTCAACACTGCCAAGACTGATAAAGCCTTAGATTTATAAAGTACTCGCCTTGTAGATTACAAAATATTTGAAAAGAGGTCGTTGAACAGACAAGTCTACCTTTCTTAAAAGTGGAAAGATTCTGAAAATTGCAGCGAAGTTGCAACAATACTGTTCTCTAGGAGCTTGGGAATATAACTCACTGGTACAGTGTTTGCCTAGCACTGGAGGCTCAAGTTCAACTCCCTACACCAAAAAAGAAAACCCCAAGCTGTTCCCTCTGTCGTTTATTCTGTGACGAGTTCACCATAATGTGTTGTGCAACACCCACACCTGGAGTGTTTTCTGTGTTTATGTTTTTTTTAAATTTATTTTTATCTTTTAGTATTTTATTTATTCTTATGAGTGTATTGCCTGCATGTAGCGTAGGTGCACCCGTGTTCTGCAATGTCCGTGGAGGTCAGAGGAGGGCGTCAGATTCCCCTGGAACTGGAGTTACTGAGGGTTGTTCGCTTTCATGTGGGTGCTGGGAATCAAACATGGGTTCTCTGCAAGAGCAGCCAGTGCTCTTAACCACTGAGCCATCTCTCCTGCTCCTCAATTTTTAAAATATATTTTTACTGAATTACTGTGTATTTCATGTATACCATCTTAGTCCTCTTTATACCCCGGCTTCTCCATCTGCACCCTCCTGTACCCCCCCCCCAGACTGGATTTCATTTATTCTGTCATTTATGTTAAAGCTTATCGAATCAAGCTATGTCCCCTGACATCCCTCAGTACAAGTTCATCCACTGGAGTCTAGTCAGCCTATCTAGAGTCACTCCCTTGAAGAAGATCAGCTCTGCCTCACCCAGCAGTAATCAGCTGCCCAATAGCTCTTTGGCTAAGATTGTGGCCTGCTGCCCATTTCCACTGTTCCATGCTAGGTTTTTGTCTGCTTGAATTTGCATGAGTGTTGTGCATGCTGTCACCACGGCTGCATAAGTTCGTATCAGCAAGGTCCCAGGAGCCTATAAGACTGTTTCCATATGGTCATGTACCTCCTTCCCTGGCTCTTACAATTTTTCTGACCCCTCTTCTGCAATGTTTCCTGAGTCCTGGAATCATTGCCTTCTGTTGCATGAAAGAGCTTAATTGATGAGATTTGAAAGATGCAGTAGTATTCTCTCTACCCCTTGTTCCACTATGCCCCATGAGTCTTAGGTGTTGAGGTTCCATTGTAGATGTGTCACTTAGGGTTGGACACTTTACAGTCACTTAATCTCTGTGTGCGATACTCTCCATCTGTTGCAAAAGAAGCTTCTTTGATGAGTAGTGACTGGCATACTTGTCTTTAAACATAAAGATCCATATTTAACACATAGTAAACAATTACATTTGTCTAGGGATGTGACAGCCTTGGGGTTTTCTCTAAGATCTATGATATCTCCAGCCATGTGTATTTTGCTATGCTTATGGTACCATATATGAGTTTCCTGCCTTGAATGGGCTTTAGGTCTAATTAGGTAGCTGTTGATTACCTTGAAGATAAAAGTGCCACTCTTGCCCCAATATAGTTTGCTGTGCCAGTCATTGCTGTGGTTATTAGGCCTTTAAACTGTGGTCGGACCTTCGATTGATGTTTTCAATCAATCGAAGAGCATAAAGAGATAAATAATGCCTAGCTGGTGTTAAAAAAAAAAAAAAAAAACAAAGGGAAGAGCAGCTTGCATTAGTGCTCTCCAAAACTATGAGAGCTAACCTTCAGAGGAGGTGGCTTCCAGGTCATTTTCACCATTGCTCCAAGTCCTATGTCCAAAGTATGCCTTGTTTTCAGCAATAGGGTCTTACCTTGAAGTTTTGGGAGGCTATCAAGGGCTGTGGCAATAGCCTCTGTAACTTTGATGATCTATTGAACTATCCTGGCTAACAATTCAAAAGAAGGTTTCTTCTCTCTGGCACTGTTTCTTGTTGTGTAGCCATCAGCTCTACACATAGACTCATGTAGAGATACTGTATGTGTAATTTTTTTAGTAGATTTTTGGACTAATATGATTCCCTCTGTTGTTTTTTCTTAATACCAGCTAGGCATTATTTATCTCTCCTCTCTCTCCCTCTTCCTCCTTCCTCCCTTCCCAGTTAAAGTACCCTCATTTTCCCCATTTCTTTCTTGATAATACCTGTCTTCCATGGTCCCCCCTCTGTTGAGCTCCTTCTCCCCCTTTACCTCCATAGTTCCTTATATAACCCTCCCTCTCTGTCTCCCATTGTGTTTACATTTTTATGGGAAGCAGGGCATGGTGGTGAGCCTTTAGTTCCAGCACACTGGAGGCAGAAGCAAGCAGATCTCTGGGAGATAAAGGCTAGCCTTGTCTATATAGTGAGTACCTGGCCAGCTGGGTCTACAGAGAGACCCTGTCTCAAACAAACAAAATTTTTATGGGAAAAAAGAATACATTGTTTTAAACTTTTTTGAAAACATCCATAACAAAATTTGAATGGCAACTAAAATCTCCCTCAAGCTTCTTTCCCTTACTTTGATATTGATTCCTTTATCCAGAATCAATAGCCATTCAGAACTGGTCATAAAATATTTATAGTTTTGCCCTTTTATTTTGGTTCCGACAACTCAGGTTTGAAGCATGATTTTGGCACATCTTACATGTAGACCTTTGATAAAATCATGAAACTTGATGTCTCAATTTGTAAAATAGTATCTTAATACCTGTCGCATACCAATGTTATGAGAAATAAATAATCCAAAATCTCAAGACCAGTACCTCTGACACTATTCTCTGATGAAAAAAAAAAAAATCACCTCTTGGCACTATGCCTAGAGAAATTAGACAGGCAATGCAGCCATTTTAAGTAAACAGAAAATATATAATGCTGTTTCCAGTGTTTGGATTTATGTAAATTAAACTCTTCAGTGTTACTTTGTCAGCTATTTAATTTTTTGCATTCATTTAATTGTTGAAATTTGGCTATTATGATATACATGATCTGACATAATCCTTTTAACTATAGTATGCTGTTCCATCTCTGTTCGTTGATGTACTGGTGATCATTTTTAAATTTTTATATTGCAAATAACAGGGAAATGACTAATCTGTGGTAGCGTCCTTGAGTATATGTAAGTCTATTTCTCTGGTTCAGGTCTGGAAATGAAATTGCTGAATTCATGCATTTCAGTTTGCCTTCGACAGTCATCTTTCTCATTCAGAAGTACCCTTAATGGTCCCCTAATTGATAGCTTCTTTTCTCATTCACATATACCAGTACTGTCCCTAGGATGCAGCAGTACAATTTTGTGATTTTTGTTTTTGAAACTGTTCCATAGATTGTCATTGCCTAAAGGAGTGACTTAGTCCGTATGGCCACTGAGTAAAGTGAGAACGACCTCTGTATATGCATGTTCAATTTAGAAGATGCTACTTTGATGTGATTCATTTTACTAATTCTCTTAAACTGCCTTTAGTATAACGACTCTTCATAATAAGGAAATGCATGCCACAAAAATATTAAAACCATAGACCCAGGAGACAGACTGCATCTTTTCTAAATCTAGCGTTATTGCTACTGCAAAAGTAGGACATTTTCTAACCCTCATTAAAATAAAACTTTCACATTTAAAAATAATATTTTATTTAGTATTTTTATTTTATGTGTATGAGTGCATTGCCTGCATGTATGTGAGTGTACTCGTGTTGTGCAATGCCCCCAGAAGTTAGAAGAGGGCGTTGGATTCCCCTGAACTGGAGTTACGGATAGTTAACTGCCTTGCGGGTGCTGGAAATCTAGCCAGGTTCTTCTGCAAGCGCAGTCAGTGCTCTTAAGCATGGAGCCATCTCTCCGGCCCCGATTTTCACATTTAAGTAATGGAATAATAATCCTTATTTTTAGAGAATACTTATAAACCTTATATGAAATAATGCATATATTGTAACAGAGATAATAAACACAAATGATGGACTGCAATTATTTACTTCTCCTTTTCATTATAATAAGTCATATTCACCCTAAGGTTTTTCTTATTTTGAAGAAGAATAGCTTTCCTCAAATCATAAAAATACATTGTTTTAAAGTAAGCCTTATTTCTATAGAGGCTTTTGTTGTTGTTTTTGTATTTTTGAGTGTCGGGGGGTGGGGTGGTGTCTCCTGTAGTTTCAGCTAGCCTGGAACTTGCTAGTAGACTAGGCTGGCCTTGATCTCATAGAGATCCTTCTGCCTCTGCCTCCCTCTGGAGATTCTAAAGCCTCATTTTACCATCTCCTATTTTTGTTTTTAGGGTTTTCTTTGTGTCCCAGTCTGTACAAACTGTTGTCTCAGAAGACAAGAGCCAAGTGCCTTCTCTGTGAGGAGCAGTCTAATTCAGAAACTATCATATTTAGGGAAGAACCTGAATTTCAAGACAAGTAAGCCACTGACAAACTGAATTTCTTTTTAAACATACCAACAGAAAACCGGATTAAAATTAGTAGGTTTAAAACTCAGAGGGAATTAGAACCTGTAAGAAAGTTCCTGTACCAGAAAGAATGTCTGAATTCATTTTTAATTGTTTTTAAGGTATTTAAAGCCCAGGCTGGCCATGTTCCTGACTATACCTCCAGAGTGCTGAGATCATATGTATATTCCTTCACATCTAGCTGAAGGTACTTTTAAATAAAACACAAATTGTGTGGAGGGGTGTGTGTGTGTGCAAGTTTGTGTGTTCCAGACTTGTGTGGGCTTGTGCAATCAGCACCTTTACCTGCTGAGGGGTCTCCCTGGCCCAAAAGTACTTTTTTGTTATTTTGAAACAGGATCTTGCTGTAGCCCCAGCTTGCCTGAAACACACCATGTAGACTAGGATGGCTTTGATCTCACAGAGATTTACATGCCTCTGCCTCCCAAATGCTGGGCTTAAAGGTGTATACCACCATGCCCACCCCAAAGTACTTTTTTTTTCAGTTTTTGAAAAGTTTCATTCCAATATTGGGGGACACCACAGAGACAGAAACATGGACACAATAGTCTCTGTCCAGAGTTTTCAGGTCAGAAGCCAAAACTGGATCCTCAGGTTTGTAGGTCCCAAGGCCCTTACAGCTTGTGGGCTCCCATGCAAGATATACACCCACATCCTCTCTGGTTCTTACCGCCTCCTCCTCCCTGCCCACTTCCTGTGCCTGAGGAGACACTGATGTATCTGGGTAAGCTGAGTGGAAGGGGAGAGTAGAGGACCTGTTATTGGAAGGACGAAGAGGAGGAGGAGGAAACCTGGAATTTGGGAGGCTTAGAGGAGAACATAGAAAAGAGAAGTGAGGAGGGGTCCACTGCCTTTGACCACCTGTCACTAGGTAATGACTCTATCTCCTAGGGGATGGTTGAGAACCAGGTATTCCCTAGCCAAGGTAGCAAGAGCATCTGTCCCCAGTAAAAGAGCCGTGTGTGCCCACTGTACCAGGCCTTCCTCAGCTGGGTGCAGGCTGACTGTTGGCGTTTGCCTGATCTGGGAATGAGGCTCGTGCTCTTATGGTCTGAGCACACGCTGAGCCATAGAGCTCCGGTTCAGGGCCTGGGGTCTGGGGCTTGGGCTCTGAGTCCAGCACCACCTCAGAGTACTTGATAGGCATTCCAGAGCTGAGGATGCAACGCTGGGCAGGTTGCAGTTGCAGGCTGGTGTAGCACATTACCTCCTCTGTGACCCGGGAAGGGAATCCAGAAGATGGATCTTGATGGCCTAGCCTTGGTTCTTGAGACAGCCATCCTGTCTTGTAAATAGTGCAGATTCCCATACAAAGGGACTTCTTCCACAGACCCTCCAGAGTGTCCCTGAACCTGCTGGTTCCTGCTCCAGCCACTGGTCCGCTGGGACAAGAGTGCGGTCAGTGAGATGAGAAGCAACAAAGTCACAACCCCTAAGAGGACCCACAGTCCCCACGCATGGATTATCGGTGCAATTCTCAGAGCCAGTAGATGATCCCTGCAGTTGGCGCCTCTGCTCATGACTGTTGGTGTGAGAGTCTGGTCCATAAGTGTATTGCCCTGAGCTGAGAGCCAGCCCCACTCATGGCCTGGCAGCTGTCACAGCCCCTGGGATTCCCATGCTTCCTCTCACAGCTCAGCCAGCATCTCCAATACTACGGATGGCAACAAAGTTGCTGGTTTTCCAAGACAGCTCCAAAGTACTTTTAAAGAGCGTCTAAGCCTATTTACATGCTGTTAACACATTGAGATATCATTTCTGACTTATTCACATGCTTAGAATCTTTAAAAAAAAAAAGTGACATTGTTACCAGGTACATTGGTACATGCCTGTAATGCCAGCACTCCAGAGGCAGAATTGTGATGTTAAGGCCAATGAACGTATAATATATAGCAAGAACTTACCTCAGCAAAATCAAATATGTTGTCACAATTGTATTAATATCTTTGCTTAAAATGAAACTTATGGTTACTTGAGTGATAGTTTTCTAACAAAATGTTTTCTACTTTTCCTGTTGCATTCAGTCTTTCTTATTTTCTTTTTAGGATTAAAAGTTTCAGCTGGACTCCACTTGTGTTTGAAAATTGGATCCACACAAAGTCTTGCTGAAGTGCAATGGCTAGCAAGCAGCCAATGCCCTTTAATGGGCAAGGAAAGCCCATTATATGTTATAATGGAGAAGTCCTTGTTTTTCAGTTGTCTGACAAGGATTGTGCAGGTGTTAAGAAGCCAACAAATGAAACTATATTAGATGTCAAAAGAATGGTGTTTAACAGAGGGACAGAAACATTTATTTTGAAATCCACTGGAGTTTTTAGATTTAAGGAGAACAAGTCTCATTTAAAAATTCTTTGTTGTAACTGTGTTTCAGATTTCAGAACTAGAATTAACCTCCCTTGCATTTTGATACAGTGTAAAAACTATGCTGAAGTTTTCACATATTATATACTGTTTCTTCATAGTACCAACAAATTTGAAAAGCGTTTGAGTTTTGAACTAGGCCATGAGTTGAATGAGAGCTTAAAGGTGTTTGATGGCCCTCTAATTTTTTGGCAGCATCTTAATACAGTCTTCTATATCTCTTGCCAAACTGGAAAAGTTACTAATTTGTCAGTTAAACTTTCCTCTATTCAGTGGATAGGTGAGATTGAAAATCTTGGTATCATTTTAGTGGGACCAACAGAACCATTTGAGACAGAATGTACCCCACAGCTTTCAGAATCAGATTACGAATTTTCTAATTCCAAATATTGTGCATACGCTCTTGAAAGTCAAGAAATCTTAAGCCATAATTACATTATCCCCCTTGCATACAGTAGTGTAGTAACTCACATGCATGTCTGTGCCGCTGAGTTTGTTGACAGCCAGTTAAGACTGTCTCTGTTGGCTCTTACACAAAGAAATCAGTTGATTTTGTTCCAAAATGGCATTCCTCAAAGAGTGTGCCACCTTCCATTTATAGGTCCTTCTGCTGTTCAAATTCTAGATTCAGGCAGAGGAAACCTGTTTTTCATTGTGTCATTTCAGAATAGTGGTGCCTGTGCTGTTTCGGCAAATAAATTTAAGGTATGGTGTTTAATCTTATAATAATCCAGTTGGCAGTCTTAGACCTTTTTATTTTTTGAGACAGGGTTGGGTCTTGATATGTAGCTCAGGCCAGCTTTGAACTTAGTGTTTTGCTGTTGTAACCTCCTAAGTGTTAGGATTATAGCCTTGTACCCAGTTATTCTTAGACCTGTTAAGCATTCCTGTTCCATGGAGTTCACCATGCAGTTTATTCTCTAAGTCAGTTTTTAGCTCTGCACTTCATATATATTATATTGGCTTTTTTTTCTTAGAAGTTATCTGAATTCTACCTGGTGATAGGTTTTGGCCTTGCCGTTTGGAGTCGTAAAGCCTTTGAATTTGAAAACATAAATATGTGACCATAATTATATCTATTTTGTCTTTTAATACAACTATTTGTAATGTTTATTAATATAACTATATAAAAGCCTAGGTTAAGTGCAGTATAGTATTACATTTGAGCAGTTATACTTAGCAATTAAGAACAAGCCATAATTATGGTGAAAGTTTTATAATGGAATCGAACATTTTTAACATTGACTTCTAAGCATTTACCGTTTGTGGTCTTGAATAAGAGGTTTTGGATTATAATAGAATAGAGTGAATGTTAAATGATAAAATTGTATTTAAATAGCAAGTTTTGCCCCCAAATAGAAAGTAACAAGTAATTTTGTATTGGCTATGAGTTCTAGATCTATGCATCCTACCTCATTCAAGGAAGATTTAAGGTAGCTTGCAAAGATAGGTGAACTACAAGCAAGCATAAATTAGAGTAAATAATAAGAATCCAAGTCAGTGGGCTCTCTAACTAGCCATTAATAAAAGCCTGAGAGATGTTTAATTCAGTGATAGGACTTAGGCTTTCTCTCAAGTAGAAACAGTCTCTGCATGTTTTCCTAAGAATCTGTACACTGAGCATTTCACAATTGAGCGTATTGTTAGATATACCTGAAGCATAGATGTCAATGTGTTTTCAGTAGAAGAGATTCACATGTTATATAGCTGTGCTGTCTAATATAGCCACTAGCCAGATGCAGCTATTCAGTATGTGAAATGTGACTTGTCTGAGTTTAAATGTGTTAAAAATGTCAAATCCACCCAAGGTTTCAGAGAATTAGTAAAGGACTGCATGTGGTTGGCACATTATATTCCCAACACTGGGGAGCCCAAGGCAGAACTAGGAAGGCCCAGCCTTAAAAGGATTTAGTAAAAACTCAGTAAAATATTTCAATTCCTATTTGATCATATTGAATTGAAATGGTAATGTTATGAAGATAGTGGGTTAAATGTAGTCAACCCTTCATATCTAAATGTTTTGCTATGTTGATTCTGCCAATTGCAGATTAAAAATACTGAACATGTATAGACATTTTTCTTGACTCTGCTCCCTAACCAGTATAAGCACTGTAATGTTGCATGTATATTGTATTTGGCATTCTAAGCAATCTAGAGATGATTAAAAGTATATGGAAGGACATGGGGAAATTATATACAAATACTGTCCCAGGAAGCACCCACAGATTTTGGAGTCTGGAGAGGATTGAGAAGCTACTCTTCCACTTACGTTGAGAGATGACTTTATATTAACATTAATTTCACCTTTCTACTGAAAATTTTAAAGTACACGCGTGCTTTGCACTTGTGACTTGTCTGTATTTGTATTAAATAGCACCGATTGCAGCATACTCATTACAAACGCGTGTGTATGTTCATGCATAGCTCTGTGATATTTACATGTCAAACACATTTTTATTGCCAGTGTCCCTTCCCATAGTTTATGATGTTCCATAATTGTGGGAGACTATGTAGGCTTTCAAATATGCTGCTTCCCTGTACAAGTGAAGAATCCTAACTTTAGAAATTAGCCCTACAGGGGCAGGATTGATATTTTGTAGATCAAAGTGCCTTACATGCTTTCCCCAGCACAAGCCTCCTTCCTGTGCTATCTAGATAATGTATCTGTACTCCTGGAATTCTGAGTGGGAATATTAGCTTTTCTGCCTTAAGGAAAAGGTTGATCTGATACTCATGATGTTAGAGGCTTTTAGCTTTTTTTGTTTTTGTTTTTGTTTTTGTTTTTTTTAGAAGAAGCATTTCATTACAGCTTTAACATATTCAGTAACACATTCCAGAGCAAGGATACATCTCTTTCAAAGATGGATGTAAATTTTTAGGTTCACAGTTGAATTAATACAGTCAGACAATACTGAACTCAGTATAAACCCTGTAAGATATAAAATTGAATGTTTTTACCCTTTAAAGAAGATCTCCACTTCATTTTAAGATATGCTGTTCCCTACATTTTTTTTTCAATAAAATGTATTTTTTTAAATTAGAAG